CACCTAGTTGGTGTGTATTTAAGGTGTAAATTATGAGTTTGAGGCTAGGGATTTGGAGAGTTTGATTTGGTGATTTGGGTGACGATTTGGTGTGGGATTTTGATAAGTTTGGTATGGGTAGACTCGTGGTTGAGTGGGCTTTCGGGTTTTGTGACTTTTATCGAACTTCAAGACGTGGGCCCGAGGGCGGCTTTTGAGTCAATTTTTGATTTTGATTAATAACTTAGCATTTTCTTATGGAGTTGATTCCTTTAGCCTGTATTGATTATATCGCATTATTTATGGCTAGATTCGAGGCATTCATAGGCCATTTTGCATGGCAAGGGATTTGCTAGGATTGAGGTAAGTAACAGTTCTAAATTTGGTTCTGAGGGTACAAAACCCTGTATTACGTGTCATGTATTTGGTTTTGAGGTGACGCGCATGCTAGGTGACGTGCGTGCGGGCGTGTACCGCTGGAATTGTTACTTGGTCAAATTTCACGGGACTGTGTAGTGAATAATCTGTTGTTATATGTTTATTCTCCATGTATTAGAGAAATTGAATCACAAATCATGTTTAGACTACATGTGTGCATTGTAGGGACCTACAGAGGTCGTGTACATGTTGAATTATCTGCTAAATTATTGTCTTGTACTCAATAAAAGTTTATTCGTACATTACATCTTAGTCTCTATTGTTCATTTTTGATGCATCATATCATTATTATCTGGGCTGCTTATTATGATTTCTGAGAGCCCGAGAGACTGGAGAGGTTGATGACTGAGTAAGGCCGAGGGCCTGATTGTGAGATATTATACTATAGCACGTGAGTTGTCCGTGCAGCACGTGTGTTGTCCGTACGGATCCAGATATTATACTATAGCACATGAGTTGTTTGTACAATACGTGAATTGTCCGTGCGGATCTAGATATTATATTATAGCACGTGAGTTGTCCGTACAGATTATAGCGCTTGGGCTGAAGGAGCCCCTCCGGAGTCTGCACACTCCCCCAGTGAGCGCAGGTACCTACTAAGTGTGAGTGTCAAGTGCTGAGTGAATGGAGGGGGATGGGAGGGGTGAGTGACTGTGGCCCTTAGAGGATGCATTTGATTTCATATTTGTTGCACTTAGCTGCCATGTATCACTGCCTTGGTAAAATTTCTGAAAGATATTGCACTCTATTTAAGTTGAACTTGTCATGAAATTACCGTTTTGGCCTTAATTGTCGAACTTGAAAGCATGCCTACCTTCCATGTTAGAATCACTGTAATTGAACTATAACTGTAAAGCTCATCACTACTTTCAGTTCCTTATTTAGTATTGTTACTTGCTGAGTTGGTTGTACTCATACTACACCTTGCACTTCGTGTGCAGATCCAGGTGTTCTCGGATACAGTGAGTGTTCTTGATCTTCTGGAGATTTCGAGGTAGCTGTTGGTGTTTTCGCAGACCTTGTTTCTCTTCCCTACCTTTTCACTTATTGTATTTAGTTTCAGACTATATTAGACAGTATTTTTCAGACTGGTGATGTATAGATGCTCAGGTACTCAGTGACACCCCGTTGTTGGAAATTTCTGTATTGTATTTTTGATTTTCTATCCCGTTTATGAGAAGTTGTTGTCATTTAAACTATTTTAAATCCATTTTCTGTTAAGTGTTGGAGTTATTTTATAAATGTCGGCTTGCCTAATACCACGACAGGCGCCATCATGACAGGTTAGGATTTTGGGTCGTGACAATGCGGTCTCGCACCTGGGGCCAAATCCATCGCAGGTGCGATAGCACCAATCCAGAACTCCTCAGCATTTCCCTAAGTTTTAAATTCGATCCGTTAACCATCCGAAATCCACCCAAGGCCTCCAGGACCTCAACCAAATATACTAACACGCCCTAAAACACGATACGAACTTAGTCGAGACTTCGAATTACATCAACCAACATCAAAATTACGAATTGCACCTCGAATCGAACTTATGAATTTTCAAATCTTCCATCTTCTATAGTTTGTGCCGAAATATATCAAATCAATCCGGAATGACTTTAAATTTTGCACACAATTCTTAATTTACATAATGGAGCTATTCAAATTTCCTGAATCAAAATACCATACGAAGCTATTGGAATAATCGAAATACCATTCCGGAGTCGTTTACACAAAAGTCAAATCTCCGGTCAACTCGTTTCACTTAATCTTCCAAAATAAGAATTGTTCTTCAAAATTGATCCCAAATTGCCTGAAACCCGAACTTGACCATACATGCAAGTCATAATATATTATGCGAAGCAGCTCGAGATCTTAAGCCACCGAACAGGACAATAATTCTCGAAACGACCGATCGGGTCGTTACATTATATAATTTTTTTTCTTATTTTAAATTGTTAATATATTACATCTCTTTTTTTTTCTATAAAAAAAAAACTATAATAATAACGGGTAAATGCCCTAGTATTCTCCAACCACAAATAGAAAAGTGTATATGGAGAGAGATATTAACAAATATCTTACGTCTTATTTTTACTTTTGAGAAAATTATTCTTGCATCTCTTTAATTTCATATTCATAATATTAAAGTCCTATATTTTATATTATATATTTTTCATCAACTCCTTTTAAAAGTATGACGTTGAACATGAAAGTTTTTTCATAATATATTTAAATTCTAATAAAAGTTGTATATTGCTGTTTGTTTTTTGTTTGGTTGTGCATAAAAAAATTTGTCAACCTATACCGAGTTACTTGAACAAAAAGTCTCTATATCCTTTTCTACTTTATTTACAATTTAGCTAAAACTAAAATAAAGAATGTAGTATTATTCTATTATATTTCTTTTTTTTTGCTATACGTTATACGAGCATGAATATATACAATGAATTTTATTACCTTCTACTTTCATGAGCCTCTCTATATATTTCTATATTTATTTTGGTTTAATGTGTAAGAAGCTATAAGCAATTATTAGAAGACACGTTAAATTTTTTTTTCTTCATATTATGCTAACTAGCATGAAGGACAAATGTACGGACACAGCTATGGACAATAGGGTGGTCTCATTTCGCCTTGTCGACCCAAAGAAAACTCGAATATAGGACTAGATCATTTGTACGGACATATGTTTTTGGGTGCTAAGATCCAAAGTTGAGAGAAAAAAAACTCAGATCGTACACTAAGGTCTCTAAGCAATAACTTAATACAAAAGAAAGTGATCGCGCGATGACAACCATGAGCTGGTAAAAGACAATATTTGATTGTCCATAAAACTTGGTAAATATAAAAGATAACATTTGATGTATTCAGACGTAGAATGTAGCTGCATGGTTATGGATGGAGAAAGAAAGCTCTCCAAAAAAAAGAAAGTGTATATTAATGGATGTTATTTTGCGATGGTGAGTTTTTTTAATGTGTTGGAATAATTTCTACTATATTGTTTATTGATTAAGTGAAAATAATTGGAACAGACTTCTTATGTCAGTTAACTTGAGTCTTTTAGAATGAGCTTGAGAATATATAACTTTCCAATTTTTTTTTTCCAGTTAACTTTTAAGTCTCCAAAGGTTATATGTTGTTGAAACTTTAAAAAAACATGATAATTTGTGAAACTGAAGTAATAAGATTATAAAATTGGGAGAAATATTAAGTTAAACGGAGAAATTGAGATGCTAGATTGAGAACTTCTATGGGGTAGAATTTCTTCCTTCTTAAGTAATTTCCTAAATAGGATCAACAATTATTATTTTCAAGAATTCATTTTTTGTAAACTTTTATTTTTGTAACTTAAACATAATTTTCACTATATAAAGCATATAATACATTGATACAGGTTACAAGCGCAAAACGCGTATTCTAATAGCTTGTTTGGATGGTTGTTACCTATTGTATTGTATCATATTGTTACTTTAAATATAATGTTTGTTTTGATTGTTACTTAAATTTTATTGTATCGTATCGTTAAATCCATCATTACGTAATGACGAAATGTGCCACTTTATGTAACGACCGATTTGGTGTGGTCGCGTCGTTACCTTGTCTTTTTATCTCAATCTCCCCTTCATTATTATTAAATTATTTTATTTTATCATTTACCCTACATTTTTATATAGTAGTTTTACCCTGTGTCATAATTTTTCTTTATAATATTGTAAGTTTATTCTTCATACTGTTGGTGTGTGATATCATGAAATGATGGCAAACGACACAATCTATCCAAACATTATATTTATCAAACGATACAATACAATACAATACAGTACGATACGATACATTATGAAACGAAACGTAACACCCATCCAAACAAGCTGTAAGACTAGTATGATTAAAACTTTTGGCATCCTTATTTAGGAGTATAAGAACAAAGGTCAAAAAGAACCGAGAAGGTCCCAATTCAAAGGTAATAAATATCATAAAATCCAACCTTGAATCACGAAGAGGATACCCTAAAATCCAACGAACTTGATAGTTTCCAACAAAGTAACTGTAATATAATTTATATATGCAGGTACAAAATGTACCCTCATTACCCCCTATGCAAAATAGTTCTTCATAACCCCGTTGCTATTTATAAAAAAAGTGATTCAGTGCACAAGACATTTCGCATTTACATAAGGATCGGGAAGGGCCACACCCCAGGGAATATTATGTAGATAGTTTACCCTAACGCAAGCATTAGTGGATGCTTCCAAGACTCGAACCTGTGACTTATAAGTCATATGGAGACAATTTTACCGTTGCTATTTATATTATATTAAAATCTTTTACCAATCAAAGCTTTAGTGCAACTAGAAGAGTTGCTTTCACGTAAGATTACATATTCAAGTCGTGAACATAACTTTGTATAAAAACATGCAAAGCACTTTTACATACAATATATTCAATGTGATTTGTCCCTTTTCCAAACCCTACACACAACGAAAGCCTAAGTACACCGGCCTTTTATTAAAGATAAAAGACACACTAGTCACCAGGGCTTCATTCTGGGTGTTAGCTATAGGGAGGTGAGTGGTCCAATCTAGTATTTTTAGGTGGGGTGACAAAAGTAGGGCATAGGACCAATGGAAGGAAGAACAAAAGAGACTCAATGCCTTTATACAAGACTAATCCCTAATCAAAAACCTATTTAGTTCCTTTGTTCCCACACACTCCATGTGCCTTTGTATTTCCATCTCTCCCCATAAATACTCTCCTTTCTTCCTATTCTTCCCCACACAACTCAAAGAAACAATACTTTAAGCCACCCCAATTGAACCTTTTCCCCCTTAATTCTTCTCATATCAAGAACCAAAATGGCTCTAAAGAAATCAAGCAGACACTTTACTCAAACAGCAGCCTTCAAACAAATTATGAAAGGCTGTTCAAGCTTTGGAAAGAATGAGAATGGATACCCTCAAGATGTACCAAAAGGCCACTTTGTTGTATATGTGGGTGAAAATAGGAGCAGATACATAATTCCTATTTCTTGGTTGACACATCCTGAATTTCAAAGTTTGCTTCAAAGGGCTGAAGAAGAATTTGGATTCAACCATGATATGGGACTTACTATCCCTTGTGATGAAGAGGATTTTTGCTCTCTAATATCAATGTTCAGATTAAAAACATTGAGGGACTTGAGTTGATAATCTTTACTTATACAGAGTATATTTTTTTACTTGGAAATTATCAGTGAGCTGCCGCTGAAGAGATGAAAAGTAAGACTGCGTACAAACGACCTAACGTTGTCCAATCTTTCTCTGGAGCCTAGATCACGTGCACAACATGAACTTAGTGCGCAGACATAATGGCATCAAGTGAATAGTTAAGTTCAACTAAGAAAGAAACCCCATCTAACTCTTTAGGGGGTGAGTTTGTACAATCACATGTACTTAATATTTTGATCAGCGGTTTTTAAAAATTGTTGGTATTGCTGTTCATGAGAAAAAAGAGATATTATATTTCACCAATATTTTCTATGCAACGTAACTGCCCGTTTTGTGTAAGAATTTACACCTGATAAATTTCTATGTGACGTTTATGAATTAATGACAAAATGTTCATTTTGGTCAAAGATAGTGTATAGCAAAGTAGTCGTTGTAATACCAAGGCATTTTGTGCCCGATTGCCTTACATGGAACGTTCACTCTTTATTTCAGTCAATGAGAAGATTCCCCTTATCCAAAGTTCTTCGTATGGCACTTTAATTTATAAATATTTTTTGTCACGCGACACAAAAACCTAACTCCCAAAACTCTTTTGAAAATTATGTATTCGACTTGACTAGGTTAAATGATCACTAGAAGGCGGATGCAGTTTACATACAATAGGCTCAAGTTCAACTGAACATTATAACATAAATACACATTATAAAAAGCTATGGAGTACTAAAATATCGACAAATATCAAATTTTGAATCCATACTTTTAAGTCTTACTTATTTCTTATGCTTCTGTTTTTTTCCTTCAAATTTTTAAAATTTTATGAATGAAAAGAAATATTACAGTATATTAATATTATATTTTAAAAAAAATTGATATATAAACACACAAACACAGACGAGAATTATTAGTTTCAATGATGTAATCAAGTACATTGTTTAATAGGATAAAATGATAGTTTGATAAGATGAGAGGAACTGTTGAACTGAGTATATTACTTTCCAATCAATTCAATGATTTAGATTCAATGACTATATTACTTTCCAATCATTGTCCATTCTCTGTTTAGTTTTTCAATTCTGAGACGCAATACTTATAGTTGAAGACAAAAGTTAAATTGGAATGAGAACGATATATCTATTTGACGAATGAGAGATAACGATCTCTCACATTAAATATTATCATAACAAGTACGTAAAATGATATAAATATACCCACACATGCCCTACATACTTACTATACAAATATACAGTACTTAATATTGTCATGGCACGAAATTCCCACCTTCGTATCGTGATAACGCCTAACATCTCACTTGCTAGGGAAGCCAACGTTAGAATAATATTAACTAATTTTTAAACAATCTTTAAATTTATTAATAACAAAGAAATAAATGCGGAAGTAAGGTCTGAAATATAGTGATTAATCCATAAAAACAATGGTGTTTAAATACCATCTTAGAATTGGTGTCACAAGTGCACGAGCTTCTAGAATAAATACAAATAAAAGTTTAAATAAAATAAAGCTATCTGGAAACAAACACACAACTAAAGTAAAGTAGACGGGGACTTCAGAACTGCGAACGCCGTGCAGTTATACCTCAAGCCTCCTCTGAGTAACTGAAATCCGAGCAAGTCTATAGTACGCCGCTGGGACCAACTCCAAAATCTGCACAAGAAGTGCAGAGTGTAGTATCAGTACAACCGACCCCATGTACTGGTAAGTGTTGAGCCTAACCTCGACTAAGTAGTGACGAGGCTAAGGCGGGTCACTTACATTACCTGTACGCAATATTAGTAACAACAACAATAATAAAAATAAATCAGGTAACTCGTTTATAATAATTGAAGCCAACTCAGCAGTCATAACAAATTATCATTTCCATCAATTCTGCTGTNTGCAACCCGATCCTCCAATATATTCATTATAATCAAATCTGTTGCGGCGTGCAACCCGATCCTCTTACATATTCATTTACCAATTCTTATAGAAGAAATTTTTCCATTAAATATAACAATTAATATAAAATTATAAGACAACAAACATACAATAATTATGATTTAATTATGAAACAAACAAGGCAAATAGAAAATTATTATGAAAATCAGAGAGAAAATATGCAGTTTAATATTTAATATGCTAAATATCAAATAACAATTAAGGCACATAATTCAAAAGGGCAGGTAACAATTAACACATGAATTCAAGAATAAATATTTGACAGAGAATAAGAGAGAAATAATTATTTTAACAATTAATTCGTGATTTAAAACAATTTATGATTTTTCAAGTAAATACGCAAACAATTAATTTGACGACGTATAGACACTCGTCACCTCGCCTATATGTCGTTCACATCCATTTCACATAACAAATAATTTAAAGGTTCTATTCCCTCAAGTCAAGGTTAACCACGACACTTACCTCGCGTTGCAAAATCCATCAATTACTCAACCACAACTTTTCCTTTTAAATTTGACTCTGAAAGTTTCAAATCTATTCACAAACAATTCAATATACTCAACACGAATCATAGGAATTAATTCCATATGAATTTACTAATTTTTTAGGTAAAATCCAAAATTCATTAAAATATTCGGCAGTGGGACCCACGTCTCAATTCTCGAAAACACTTACGAAATCCGAACACACATTCCGAGATGAGTCCGGATATGTAATTAGTTTTGGAATCCGACCTCAAATTGAGGTTTAAATCCTCAAATTTCGAAATTTCTAAGTTTTACCCAAAAATCCTAATTTCGCCATAAAAATTCTAGATTCTAGGTTGAAATCTTGTTATACGATGTAAAAGATTGGAAGAAAAGAGTTAGGAATCACTTACCTATGATTTGGGGAAGATTTGGTCTTTGAAAAATCGCCTCTTAAGGTTTAGGGTCTTGAAAATATAAAGAATGAATGAAAAATCCCATCTAAGCCTCTTTTACTCAGCTGCAGGTGTCGCAATTGCGACCTGAGCTTCGCAATTGCGATGCCCTTCACAATCCCGCTGCCTTCGCAAATGCGAGGAAAGTGTCACATTTGCGACCACTGAACCTCGCAAATGCGAGTAAATGTTTGCATTTGCGAACCTGCCCTTCCCAGACTCCCTTCGCAATTGCGAAGGTAACCTCGCAAATGCGAGAACTGCTGGCCCAGGCTTTTGATCGCAATTACGATGAAAGCCTCGCAATTGTGGACCCTGTTATCTTCGCATTTGCGAAGAGGCCTGCAATAGGTTCAGTTATACCAGCAATAGGTTCAGTTATAGGTTCAAAACATCTCGTGGTCTATCCGAAACTCACCCGAGCCCTCGGGGCTCCAAACCAAACATGCACACAAGTCTAAAAATATAATATGAACTTGCTCGCGCGATCAAATCACAAAAATAACACCTAGAACTATGAATTTAGCACCAAATCAAATGAAATTCTCAAGAACACTTTACAATTCATATCTTCTCAATTGGACGTACGAATCACGTCAAATCAACTCTGTTTCTCACCAAATTTCATAGACAAGTCTTAAATATCATAATGAACCTATACCGGGCTCCGAAACCAAGATACGGACCTGATACTAAGAATGCCAAATATCAATCAATTCTTAAAAACAAATAATTTTCACACTTTTAATTTTCATTAAAAATTCATAACTCAAGCTAGGGACCTCCGAATTCAATTCCGGGCATACGCCCAGGTACCATAATTCGATACGGACCTACCGGGACCGTCAAAGCATGGATCCGGGCCCGTTTACCAAAAATATTGACCGAAGAAAACAAAAATTAACTTTTAAGGCAAATATTCTTATTTTTATTAGTTTTCAACGTAAAAGTTTTCCGGAAACCTGCCGGACTGTGCACGCAAATCGAGGAGGGTAAAAATGAGATTTGCAAGGCTTAAGAGCTCAGATTTGAGTTGTAAAACATAAGATGACCTTTTGGGTCATCATATTCTCCACCTCTAAAACAACCGTTCGTCCTCGAACGGACTTAGAAAAGTTCCTGGGTAGGTGAAAAGGTGGGGATATCTACTCCGCATATCGGACTCGGACTCCCAAGTAGCTACCTCAATAGGCTGACCTCTCCACTTCACTCGGACTGAAGGGTAACTCTTTGATCTCAACTGGCGAACTTGCCGGGCTAGAATTTCCACCGGCTCCTCCTCGTAAGTCAAATCCTTGTCCAACTGGACAGAGGTGAAATCTAACACGTGGGACGGATCGCCGTGATACTTTTGAAGCATGGAAATATGGAATACTGGATGAACAACTGCTAAACTAGGTGGCAACGCAAGCCTGTAAGCCACCTCTCTCACTCTCTCCAGAATCTCAAAAGGTCCAATATACCTAGGGCTCAACTTGCCCTTCTTTTCGAACCTCATTACACCCTTCATGGGTGATACCCGAAGTAACACTCTCTCTCTGACCATGAATGGAACATCAAGAACTCTATGGTAGGTATAACTCTTCTACATGGACTGAGCTGTGCGAAGTCGATCCTGAATAATCTTGACCTTCTCCAAGACATCCTGTACCAAATCGGTACCCAACAACCGAGCCTCTCCCGGTTCAAACTAACCAACTGGCGATCAGCATCACCTTCCANTTTTGGGTCATCATATTCTCCACCTCTAAAACAACCGTTCGTCCTCGAACGGACTTAGAAAAGTTCCTGGGTAGGTGAAAAGGTGGGGATATCTACTCCGCATATCGGACTCGGACTCCCAAGTAGCTACCTCAATAGGCTGACCTCTCCACTTCACTC